ATATATCAATTCATGTGAATATGACTGAAAAAATTTATTTTTTCTGAAAAGGTGGTGTTTATTTACTTGTGACCATGCTGTGTATATCGAATGATTTCTCGATAATTTCACCCCTATCTTTCATAGTGAAGTTTTTGTCGTTTGAATCAGTTATTAAAACTAGTTCCATTTTTCATGCTTTAGTGAAAGACTCCTGTCCGACATGTTAATCCAATAATTTCCGTTACCTAGAAACATTTTATATTTGATTTTGCTCTTTTAGCTTCCATTTTCTCTGCTTCCCGAACGATCACCACTAATTAAAGATTTATTACTATGCTGCACAACGAATGTACGCAGATAACACGTTTTTGCTTTTCTCAAGAGTTTATAAAATTGTAATGCGACGAGTCACTGTATAGAACCTTTCAAACGTGCGACAAATACCACGAGTAATTAGATACGAAAAGGACTGCTGTTAGTAAACGTTATTGAAGAAATAAATTAATTCATTTTTATTAGAACACAGTGATAGAACACATTTCAGGAATACTTTTTATCATAAAGTATATGCATACATACATATGAAATTACATAGAGAGCCTACTTTAAAGAAGTTTATTTATTATGAATGACTTTTTTATGGAATTTTCATAGTATTAGGTATATTATTATCTGTCATCAGTATAATTGTTACTTGGGGTTTACTCCCCAACACTATCATGTAACTCTACATAGGCCCAGTGTGCAAACACAAATGTAGTCAATGCATGCAGAGCGTCACAGTTGCTCAAATATTATATTTATTATAAGTACAAATATTTTCTCGCAACTAACTCTCTTAAACATTTAATGGATTTCCTATTTCTTTTTTATAAATAAATGCATGTAGTATCAGTTAGTATTGTTGCGTCAGCGAGTCACATGACCACCGTGACGCAACGTTTCTAGAACTATCATGTACTTTGGCGAATGTTCTAGTTCTTGCTAGATATAGGGTAGGCTGGTATATAAAAGAGGGTGAATGTAATGTCTGGGTAGACAGTGAGTAATTGAACTGCAGTCAGAGAGCACGAGAGACGTTCGTCGATTAGCGTTTGTTTTAACGCGATTGGTGAAGTTGAGTGTATCGGTAAAGTTATATTCGGAAAGAATAAACCAGTTTTATTAAGTAAAGACTTGTGTCGCTTAAGTTTCGTCGGTACGAAGTTACGGAAAATCAATTAACAAACGGAGACGTAACAGTATGTATTACTTCGCAAAAGCACTAATGTTTACTAGCTAGTCTTTGTTCCAAGACTTGTATTTAAAATTTCATCTCTTTGAAAAATTGGTTTAAAAAGTTTTAGAGACATCTCTTATACACCTACATATACTTTACAACTTTACTTGGAGGTTTTTGTTCTTGGCCACTCAATCATTAGAGTTAACTTTTGTTTTGTTTTTTTAACGCCTGCCACACAAGTCAGCCCAGCATCTTTAAGTAATGAGCCTAGGGTGGTCTACAGGGGATCAATTCTGGAAACCAGTGATTTAGGGTTATTTCGATAAATCTCGATGAATGAAGCTCGGAACAACTTCTAAAACGAAACACACACACACACAAAATATTCATGAAATATGACATGGTGAAATCTGTATGGATTATACTATAGTGGTACCATACATGGCACTATACCATCTTGCTTATATTTATTTTTCATTGCAGAAATGGCTATTTTAATTTGAGAATCGCTACGGAAATCATCTTGTAATGCATCTTTGAGCTTTACTGTGCCGTTAGTTTCCCAAAATATTAAAACTAAGGATTTCTTATATATGATTCCAATCTTTTATCCCCCCCCCACTTTTTTTTCTTAAAATAACGATACTATTTTGCTCATTTTTTTATGTTTTAAGGCAGTAATCAATTCACGAATCTTCGATTTAGTTGGTATGTCAAATTGTTTGGAATATCTTCGAATAAGTTATTCTTTTATCTGACCTGGACCCACAGGTTAATTTAATCGCTACACTTAAACCATCACATTCATAACCACATCTAGAACATTTCAGCCATGTTTCGTTGCTACACCGGTTTACTTTACATTTACAAGTTAACTTCTCCATGTTGGCTCTCATAGTCTCGGGTCCAGTCACGAGTCTGGTTCAGCGACCTAGACCTAGAAAATAGTGCCAAACGTCTTCTTTTTGTCCAATCAAAACAACTCTAACCTTTCTGGAACGACTAATTTTTTTTTATCCGCATCAAGATAGTGGGCTGACTCTTGTGTTTGGTGTTAATTATTCCCTGTCATGTTCGGATCTAAATAATAAGGAACTTTCATTCATAAAGAAACAAGAAAAAAGGAATCAGCATGCCATAAAAGAAACAGAATTTTTGAGATTGAAACGGTCAAGATTGGGGGTGGAGGATTTTGAACCATTGAAAGTGATCGGACGAGGAGCTTTTGGAGAAGTTCGTCTTGTTCAAAAAAAGGATACTGGCCATGTTTATGCCATGAAAATTCTTCGGAAAGCAGATATGGTAGAAAGAGAACAGGTAAAGTCAGAAAAGCCTAACTCTAGTCTCTGACTTATAGAGAATTTGAAAGTTATTATTGGTTTTTAATTATTTTATTCGATTTGCTAATTAAGTATTTTTATATGAAATTAATTTGTGTGCTTAGCATAAAGTTTGTTAATTATAGCCACTTTGTCCCTCGACGTTTATAGATATACTTCAGTGTATTATCAGTGGGGTAAAAAGGAAAATGAAAAAATACTATTTACCTTTAAAAGTTAAATGATCCAAATTGTTCCAATCTGTTAATAATATTATTAAACAAGACAACCCATGGAGTTCTTTTAGAAATGAACATAAGGTTTTACCAACTAGCTGGAGTACCCGTCCCCTGGACGAGTGTTATGTAAATTCATGATTATTGAAAGGTTATCGTAGGACATGAAAAGTTGCTTCCCTTATATGTAATTGTAAAAAACGCACATAAAAACCGCAAATTTTTATGTTGCCGTGGATCCAATGAACCTCCACACCAAATTTGGTAAAGATCCATCAATAGGGGGTAAGGTACTGGTAAAAAAATGCGAAAACGCTTATAAAACCGCAAAATACATAACTAAAATTTTTTATGCATCTCTCCATGGACCCAACAAATCTTCATGCCAAATTTGGTGAAAATCCGTCAGCAGAGGGTGAAGTAGTTACATGGTCATACAACAGTTCTGTTTTTGTTTGAA